TCCCTCAGCCCTTCTCCTCACAGCCCGCCCCGGCCCCTCGCCCCCTTCCCTGCCGAAACCCTTTACTCGAGGGGCCCTCTGGATATTTGGGGAAGGCGGCTGCACACCCCCCACCCCCCGGGGAGGGGGAAAGGGCCCTTCTGAGGGGACGCGAATGGGAGCTTGAATTTTTTTCATGAGGGAAGAGGTGGGGAAAAAATTCACATTAAACCTTTTAGGAGGAACGGGCAGCACCTGCCGGCGCAGGAGGGGGGAAAGAGGTGGGTGCAAACTGCTTCACCGCCGCTCAGCGCCCCGGTTTTAGGGCGGGAAAGGAGTATTTTGGGAAAGCGGTGGTGTCTGGGAGGTGAAGAATTGAATTCCTATGGGTCTTCGCCCAGGGACTGACACCCGCAGGGGGTAGAGCCCCACAGCCCCTCCTCAGTCCCTCACACCTCTCGTTGCTATATGAATTATTTTGCTTTTTGTGCAGATTCACGCTGAGAATTTTCCCCTGGGGAATGGGGATAGAGGTGCCCCGGGGGGTGGCAAGGGTCATACCCGAAGTACCCCCTTCCGTTTCTCACCCCTCGGACGTGCTGTTGTGAAAACCACGTCAAATGAAAACATTTCTCCTTGCGCGTTTTCTCCCACAGGGTGGAGGATGCCGGTGGCACCGACAGGATGTGCTCAGCCCCGGCAAAGCCCGGTGTCATACAATAAAAGAAGCCTCCAGCGGGATTTGAAGGCTCTTTAACAGCCCACCGTGGGGTTTTACCTCCCTGCAAGCCAGGTACTGACCTGTCCCGATGGCATATGTGTCTTAGGAAGAGAAAGAGCAAATGTTGGGGTGTCCTCACCCACGGCTGTCCCTGGCTTCAAGCATGGGGACAGCAGGTCCAAACTCCCGGAGCATCTTCTGCCCATCTGCCTCCACAGCAGGAGGAGACAGGGGAGATGCACCGGGAGAGCCGCCGGTTTCCCACGTCATGTGAGACGTGGGAAGAGTTTAAAAAAAATCCTTTGTTTCATACCCAAAACCCAAGGCTTTGGCTAGGACGGGGGAGATCTCCACTGGGCACGGAGCCACCGCTCTGTGACAGCCTCTTGCTGTAACAACACCCCCCAGGCGAGACACTGACAGAGCCCAGCTGGAGGAAAACCAAACTGGAAGTTTCAAAGTTCATCTTTTTTACTGAGGCAGCACCCGATTGCTACAGAAAACGAGGGGAAATCCGTGATTTGGCTCCCCTGAGCGAGGGGCCGAGTCTGTTCCCACGTTGCATCCTCTCCCTTCCACCGGCGCAGCTTTGCCGGCTGGAAATAACCTCCTGGCCCCTCAGGTCACTGTTTCTACCCAGTGTGCCGCAAATTTATCCCATCTAACAAAAAAAAAAAAGACAAAACCAACCTAGTTTGCAAAAACTAAATAAACTGAGCCCCAAAAATCCTGTGGCAGCATCATTTTCTTCCCCAGAGGAAAGCAGAGCAGTTTGGGGATGTTTTAATGGTACCACGTTTGGTTTGCAGTCCCCAACGCCTGCTATTTCAGCCCGGCCATCGCAAACATGTGGGCTGTGTTGCCATTTGCTCCCTGGGGGTTATATTTCTGCTCTTTTTTTTTTTTTTTTCTGTTGTTGTTGTTGTTTTTTCCCTCCTCTCCTTCTTGGAATAAACTTGATGTCTTCTCTGCCAGCAGCCTGGGGGCTGCAGCCAAGCAGAACCCATTAGTGCAGCGCTATAGATTTTCAACCCCATGAAAATCTGCTGCCATTTTAAATAGAGCATCTATTTATTTCACTCGGCGGCGTGTCCTTTTGCTGTCAAGGAGACAAATTATTCCAGTCCTGTGGCAGAGCTCACGATAACGCGGCAGAAAAGCTTTGAGAGCAATTGATACCCAACTGTGGCGCATGTCTACCTACGGAGGGGCAGCCCGATACCGGTGGATAGCCCACAGTAATTCCAAATTTCATCCCAAATCCCTTCCTAAGGGAACTTTTTAATTAATTCATCGCAGCACATAGTATCTGGCCAGGCCCCCGATTTCCAAATGTGCGTCTCTGAAATATTTAGTGCGACCGGGGATGTTTTGCAGCCTGATAACCGGCGTGGAGGGATGCGCAAGGCTGCGTGAGTGTGCTCCGGCTGATGGGGCGGTTGCAATTTAACTCCTTTGTAATCAATCTGCAGGCTGCTGGATTAATTTAATTCCTTCTGCCGGTCGCCACAGTAAAGCCAGTGCTGGAGGGAGGGGAAAAGGCTTTACGTTGAAAAGCCTGCTGGAATAGATGAGGGGTTTTTTTTTTATTAAGGGCTGCCAAACGCTTAATAAACATCTTTATTATCAGCCCAGCCTGGACTATAAATAACCTGCCGTGTATTTGAAGCTGCGTAACGCCAGCCAGCCGCCGGGGATCGCGCTTCCTAAGTTGTTTTGGGCCCAACCGTTTCCAGCGCGCGAGTGGAGCCGTAGGAAATGTGCTATTTCCTTCCCTGGGTGGCAAAAAAGGCTTTGGGAGAGGCTCTGGGCTCGCACCGCCCGCACGTCTCGATAGAAACCCATCCCTGCCCACGTGCAAATCCTGCCTGCTGCGGGCAACGCCTGCACGTTTGCCTGGACATGCCCTAGCTGTACGGAGAAAGAGATATATATATTAAAAATATATAGCTATTCCTTACTGGCCCTTATTTTGTGGAAGAAGGGGAGTGGATAAGAGGGGCTGAGTGATTCTTGGCTCTTGGTCTCCCTGGATAATTCAACCTCCCGTTTTCTCCACCGTCCTCTGGTCCACGATTTCCAAATCTGCCTGGCAGAAGCCGGAGACCAAAGACCGCGGCTCCGCTGGCTGCTGGCCGGGCGCAGGGATGCATCCCAGGTTCTCCTCCGCTCCTAAACTCCATCTTTTTTTTTTTCTCCCAACAGGTTTGCAAAGCCTCTGATGTCTCAAATGGGGCAAACGGCCCCGGTAATGTGCAGCGACAACTCTAGTAGCTTTTCCGACCCTGCAGCCTTTGAGCATGTGCAATTCCAGCCCCTCTGTCTCCAGAACTGACGATAGTTTGCTCTTAACTCCAGCAGGAGCCGAGTCAGACCTTGATTTTAAGCCAGAGGGTAAGTCACCCCACTCAGAATTCAATTCAGAAAAGCACTTAGATGCTTAAAATTTGAGTTCTTCCTGATTTATGCTCCTGCCAGCGGTGTGCCCCTGGTACTCGCTCCATTGTGGTATTAAACGCCTCCTCAGACCCATTCCCAGCACCGGAGGAGGGTCCTACATCCCCCTAAGTATCTCATCTCCCCGTGCTCAGCTCCGGTCCCACCTCTGCGTGGGGCAGGAGACCCCCGGGCACCCCCTTGCTGCTTTGGGGCTCCCGTTTGGACCGAGCCCTCCCAAGGGCCCCTACGCCGCCGCCACCAGCACATGGGTTATTTACCCCCCCTGTAGCGCCGCTCTGGACCCCCTCGATTGCTCAGCTTCTCCCGCCCCTGCGGCTGCTCCATCTCCGGCGGAAAAGGGGGGTTCTGGGGAAAAAGTGGGGATGACGGATCTCCTCGGTGGGTCACGGGCATCACCGGTGGCACCAGCCCAGCAGCATCCCGGCCACGCTGGCACCGGACATCTGCTTTTTTGGGGGGATAAATTGCTAAAAAAGCGACGTTTTCCCTCTGGCCGGCACCTTAGGGTGTCTCTACCCAGCTGAGCGCGCTGTCC